CTGTTGGGCAGGATGGGGTATCTGGGGTCTGGGGGTGTCCATGGGGCAGGATGGGGTATCCGTGGGTCCAGGGGGGTCCATGGGTGTCCGTGGGTCAGGTCTGTGGGTCGCTGACCCCCCCCTGTGCCCCCCCAGCCTCTCTGATCCGGGGTAACCGCGCCAACTGTGCCCTGTTCTCCACCAACCTGGACTGGCTGGTCAGCAAACTCGACCGACTCGAGGCCTCCTCGGGTCAGTGCCCTGGGGGGCTCCCGGGGGGCTCCTCTGGGGCTGGGGGGGATCCCAGGGGGGCTGAGGAGGGGCCTCACGTGGGGCTCGTGCTGCTGGAGACCCTCCTGTGGGGCTGAGGAGGTTCCTGTGGGGCCGAGGAGGTTCCTGTGGGTCTGGGGTCCTTTCCATGGGTCTGGGGAGGTTCCTGTGGGACCGGAGTCCCTTCCATGGGTCCGGAGTCCCTCCTCTGGGTCTGGGGTCCCTCTTGTGGGTCTGGGGTCCCTCCTGTGGGTCTGAGGAGGTTCCTGTGGGTCTGGGGTCCCTTCCCTGGGTCTGGGGTCCTTTCCATGGGTCTGGGGTCCCTCCTGTGGGTCTGGGGTCCATTCCGTGGGTCTGGGGTCCCTTCCCTGGCTCTGGGGTCCTTTCCATGGGTCTGGGGTCCCTTTCATGGGTCCGGGGTCCCTCCTGTGGGTCTGGGGTCCCTCCTGTGGGTCTGGGGTCCGTCCCGTGGGTGTGACCCCCCAGGTGTGTCTCCCCCCCCCCCCAGGTATCCTGGAGGTTCTGTACTGTGTCCTGATCGAGAGCCCCGAGGTTCTGAACATCATCCAGGAGAACCACATCAAATCCATCATCTCCCTGCTCGACAAGCACGGACGCAACCACAAGGTGGGTCCTGGCAGTGCCCAGCTGTGCCCAGGTGCCCTCAGGTGTGCCCAGGTGTGCCCAGGTGTGCCCAGCTGTGCCCTCCTGCAGCTGGATGTGCTGTGCCCGCTGTGTGTGTGCAGTGCCCAGCTGTTCCCAGGTGTGCCCAGCTGTGCCCAGAGGTTCCCAGGTGTTCCCAGCTGTTCCCAGTTGTTCCCAGCTGTTCCCAGGTGTTTCCAGCTGTGCCCAGATGTTCCTGGCTGTGCCCAGATGTTCCCAGCTGTTCCCAGATGTGCCCAGTTGTGCCCAGCTGTTTCCAGAGGTTCCCAGCTGTTCCCAGATGTGTCCAGAGGTTCCCAGATGTACCCAGAGGTTTCCAGCTGTTCCCAGCTGTTCCCAGCCGTTTCCAGCTATGCCCAGCTGTGCCCAGGTGTTTCCAACTGTTCCCAGCTGTGCCCAGGTGTTTCCAGTTGTTCCCAGTTGTGCCCAGCTGTTCCCAGCTGTTCCCATGTGTTCCCAGGTGCCCCCAGGTGCCCTCAGGTGTGCCCAGGTGTGCTCAGGTGTGCCCTTGTGCAGGTGCTGGACGTGCTGTGCTCCCTGTGTGTGTGCAATGCCCAGGTGCCCCCAGGTGTGCCCAGGTGCACTCAGGTGTGCCCCCCGTGCAGGTGCTGGACGTTCTGTGCTCTCTGTGCGTGTGCAGTGCCCAGGTGCCCCCAGCTGTTCCCAGGTGTTCCCAGCTATTCCCAGGTATCCCCAGGTGTTCCCAGGTGTGCCCAGGTGCGCTCAGGTGTGCCCTCTCACAGGTGCTGGATGTTCTGTGCTCCCTGTGCATGTGCAACGCCCGGGTGTGCCCAGATGTTCCCAGCTCTTCCCAGCTGTTCCCAGGTGCCCCCAGGTGCCCCCAGGTGTGCCCAGGTGTGCTCAGGTGTGCCCTTGTGCAGGTGCTGGACGTTCTGTGCTCCCTGTGCGTGTGCAACGCCGTCGCCGTCCGCTCCAACCAGAACCTGATCACGGAGAACCTGCTGCCCCGGCGGGACCTGCTGCTGCAGACGGCCATGGTCAACCACGTCACCAGGTATGGGGGGGCACGGGGGGCACCTGGGGGGCACAGGGAGGGTTTTAGAGGGGTTTGGGGGGCACAGGAGGGGGAGCTGGGACGGTTCTGGGGGGGTTTGGGGGCTCTCAGTGGGTCTGGGGGTCACTGAGGTGCCCCCAGAAGCCGCTGAGATGTTCCTGGGGGTCCCTGGGGCTGCTCCTGGGGGGGTCTCTGGGTGTCCCTGGGACGGGTTTGGTGGGTCCTGGGGGGTCTCTGGGTGCCCCTGGGGTGTGTTTTGGGGTCTCTGAGAGCCCCTGGGGTGGATTTGCCAGTTCTGGGGGTGGGTTTTGGGGTCTCTGGGTGCCCCTGGGGTGGGATTTGCTGGTTCTGGGGGCGGGTTTTGGGGTCTCTGGGAGCCCTTGGGGGTCTCTGGGTACCCCTGAGGTGGGATTACTGATTCTGGGGGTGGGTTTTGGGGTCTCTGAGAGCCCCTGGGGGTCTCTGGGTGCCCCTGGGGTGGGTCTGCTGGTTCTGGGGGCGGGTTTTGGGGTCTCTGGGTGTCCCTGGGGGGTCTCTGTGTGCCCCTGGTGTGGGTTTTGGGGTCTCTGGGTGCGTTCTGGGGGTCCCTGACCCCCCCTTTCCCCGGCCCGTTGCAGCATCCGTCCCAACCTGTTTGTGGGGACGGCTCCGGGCTCGACCCAGTTCCGCTGTTGGTACTTTGAGGTGTCCGTGGAGAGGGTCCAACCCTTTGTGACCCCCCAACCCACCCACCTTCGTGTGGGGTGGGGGGCTGCGGGCTCCTTCCGCCCCGCCCCGGGGGGGGGGCTCGGGCTGGGGGGGCAACGGGGCCGGCGACGACCTCAACTCCTTCGCCTTCGACGGCCTCCACCTCTGGACAGGTGAGGGGGGGGCAACGGGACCACCCACCCCCCCATGGGGTACCCACAGAGACCCCTCAGAGACCCCGAACCCCCTGAGAGCTGGGACCCCCCCACGGGGCTCCCCGAGTCACCTCAGAGCCCCCAAACCCTCTGACCCCAAGAAATTCTCCTGAGCCCAATAAATCCCCCTGATCCCAATAACTCTTCCTGACCCCAATTACCCCCAACCCCAATAACTCCTCCAGATCCCAATAAGCTCCATCACCCCAATAACCCCCCTTGACCCCAATAACTCCTCCTGAT